GATAGTAAATCTTAATTCTAGCCATGCTAGATTATTTATCTAGTTTCAAAAGTTATTTACTTGTTTTAAGGTGCCGACTTTGCCGGTCTTGTCTTATTTTAAGCATGAACAATACCTTTTTATCTTGTTGAGTTTATAACTCTTAAAACAGTATTTTTAAGAGTTGAAATAAGATATTATTGACTTCCACATATAAAAGCTAACCCCAAACCTTAAAAAAGACTAAATTTAAGATCTTAAAATAAGTGTTAATCTCTAATAGTAATTTGAGAGACTTTAGTCAGGAAACACAATAAAGATGAGGGGTCAATATTTTTTCAATCCTATCCTATACTGAAAACGTATGAGCATTCATTGTCATATTGTCTAGCCTTGGACACTAAAAAAGTATCTTACTGGTAATATAAAAATGTGTGTGAGTTTAAGATGAAAAGACAAGAATCAAAATGCATTGTGCAGGTTTATTTGTCTGCAAATTAACTAAAGACATTGAAGATGTTATACCACTGAAGTCAACAGCTTTGAATTTGGGCTGGATAATATTGTATAAAAGAAACGCAAATGTACACACATGAAAAATACAACCATATTGTAATTAACAACAATAGATCCAAACTATAGTCTAGACTGAATCACAGGCTGATTTTGCTGAACAATAACATCACATAGACTATATTTTAGGTGCAAACTCGCTCTCTCTAAAACTAACAGAAAAATAAGACGTATAATCTAAGAGGTCACTCACAAATTCTGTCGCCTGGGCCAGAGCAGGAACTGAAACCTTGTACGCAAACAGAGACATACGCCTTGCTCCACCTCGCTTGACCCAGACAATCTTTTTGGAAACAACTACTTCCTCTGGACTCACTGGATTAAAGTTTTTCCTGTAGGTCTTGTTTTGTCCAGTTGCGCTGGTTGAAAATGGATCCACAAAAGTGTCAAATATGGACATTGCTTCATTTTGAAGCTGAGGGCTCCTCTCAGAGTGCCCATCAAAAACTCCCCTCATTCTCTCCCGGAGCACATTGATGAGAACAGCCTGATATTGCTGCACCCCTGAGATGATGTGGTTCACAGTTCTCTGAAAAAAGAAAGTTTTCATTTTAAAAAGCTGAACCAATTAATAAAGAACAAACAAGGTTGATATACCCAAGGTTGATATACCCAAACTTAAATGTATCCCACTTAAAAGTAGCAATATGTAAGATTTTCATGTCAAGTCATCATTAAAAGGGCCCCAATATGTCAAAAGACATTCATAAACCTGCTCTTTTCCAATACTTTAACAGTAGTTATCAGTTCAGAGATTGTTATTGTTTTCATTTTCATTTTCATGTCCCGCCCTCCACCGTTTCACCAATCAGAAAGTCTGTGATCCGAGTTGCCAGAACTCACAGCATCGAGCTAATCTCACTGGTTAAGTAACATGTGCCCGCAGAACTAAAGAAGGTGTTGTTAGGATTCTCAATTCGTTAATGACAAAACAAGGAATAATATAAGGATTTATATATCGGGTCCTTTATGAAAAAGGTGTTTGTATAGATTTTTTGTTGACCAAACACTTGTCTATTCAGCTGTTATGGTCCCAGCTAGATTCGTCTGCATATCTGGTAACTTGAGTCAGGGAGAGTGGGAGAGGATGCAGTACCACTTGTGGCCACATTTTTACATACTGCTCCTTAAAAACCATATCAAATTAAAATCTATAGATAATATATACAAATTATTGTATAATTGTTTGAAATATTGAATTCAAGTAACTATTCAAATGTAATATAGTATTTGATAATGACTATGGTTGAAAAAGTATTTAAAAATCTCACATTCATCAACTTACTTGTGACAAATGGCACTCTTCACGGACACTGAGACCAAGAGCAGCAGCACATCTGGTGAGATCATTGCTGGTATAGTTGGTAGTGGAAGTTGATGGTCTCGCATCTTCATCCTTCATAGAAAACATGATTAATAGTGGGAAGTAACAGGGAAGTAAGCATTAAAAACAATTGCTAAAAGTATTAATATACATGTAATATTAAGCATAGCCTAGGATATATCTAAATGTTATACTTTAAAACGTGTATGACAAAAAAAATTCAGGTACTTTTTAATATATTCGATACATTTTGTCTTCGTTTATGTCTGTTATACATTCAATCTACGTGTGTTACTTGGTGCTTATGTGGTCATGGTCAAACCATGGGTCAGACACAACACATTCATAAAGTTAGCATTGAGACTTACATTAATGACCACTTCGGCCTCAAACGTTTCATTCCGCGTCGAAACCAGTGGCGTAGCATTAGTCGTAGCTGGAGCGGTGGTTGTTGAAGAATCTGCAAAAATTGATACTCCAAACTTTTCCACTCCCAGCGAGCGCGATGTTGGAGTCGTTCTCCACGTAGTTGGCGGGACTCCATGTTTCATAAACACAGGGTGTGTTCGTTTGATGTGGCGAAAAAATTAGTTGAAAACACTGAAGTCCTGGTCACATCCATTAATTCAGCAATGAACCCAAAACTCTTGACTACGTCCATGTGCTGTATTGATGTGGCTAAGAAGTGTCTTCAGTGACAATGCTGCAAAAATAAGACAGATCATACACCTCCACAACGCCATGTCTGCGTGCGTTCGGGTCGTCTAGCTTCCAGTTTCCGGATGGATCCGGATATTCAGAAATTATATCTACTGACACCTAGGCTATAAGATTCAATGTAGAAAAGGAGCTAGGAGCTAGGAGGTAGACAGTACGTTACACTATATGGATCTGTCCTAATGATACGCGCATGCGCCGACCGCCAAATGTGTCTCCGTCATCGTCTTTGCCGTTTGCATACATCTCGAACCTGCGAGTGAATGTCTTCTTTTCCACGTTTGAAGTGACAAACCAAGGTCAGTATCCTACGCTGTCTTCTCTTTTCTAAATGAGGATAATTGTATCTCGTATAACACATAGACTGTATAACACCGGTACAATCGAACACATGCTGCGTTTAGTTAATTTTGAGTAGGCTAGCATGAACTAGCCTGCTAATGCCATGGCTAATGCTCGTTAATGCTGCGTCACGATGGCGTCCCGTGTATGGATCTATTATAATAACGGTCCGTGGTACAAGAAAGTTTACAGTCTATTGGTACAAGACATGCTAACAATACAGATCTTGTTAGGTCGTCCCTGAAGGAGAAAAATGTTTTTTTCCAATTTCATATAGACATTTTATGTTTATGGCTTTATCCTTTTTTTAACAATAAAAGACTGCGGCACTATGCAAAGAGTTTGAGTAGCCACGTGCGCTGCTACTTTTAGCCTACTAGCTGTTAGCCTATAACTTTTTTTCTTTTTCCCCAGAGCCTTTGTGTTGAGACTGTAATTTCTAAATATGGCACTGGAGGGACTGAACGAGGGTATCCGTTCAGTGTTGGAGGGTAAGTATTTAAGGATGTTATACTTTTTGTTTTTAATGCAGTGCTCCCACCCAGACTGGGTGTCTGGGAATAATTTAGTGTTATGTGCTTCAGTTGTTCGATTAAAAAATCATTAGTTTTAATTTAAGTTTAGATCAAATTCTACATTTAGATGTAGTAGTATAGGCTGAGACTGGGGGTCCCGTGGTTAACAGAACCCCTGTCTAGAGAATGTGATGTCTACTGTCTTTGGTTATGAAATGCAGAGTGAAAAAGAAGAAAATTACCTTACTTGATTATGGCATAATTAATTCTTGAAATTACTAATGTCTTTTTTATACCTGTTCTGTTGCAGCTGCTAATATTGATGAAGCAATACTGACTACAATCAATCGTGAGGATCTTAAAGACTTATTTCCAGGTGCTGCGGATTTTCTACAAAGGAAACAACTATGGGATTTCATCTGCAAAATGGTATTTTAAAGCATTTGCTCAAAATAAAGTAATTGTAGTTTACTATTATGTTTTCATACTCTCACAGAAAGGAAATTCTGACCAGAATGCCAATACCACTGCATATGACTTAACACCATGCCAGTCTCAGAGCTCATCCCCCAGTTTGCCTCAGAGCTCATCTCCCAGCTCACCAACTACCAAAAGCATTAAACTGCCAGCTCCGCCTGAATATGTTGTATACACAGATTCAGAGTTGGATGTTGTGCGCTCCCAGTACTTTTCAATGCTCCGTGAAGGAAATGTGAGCGATTTTAAAATATCGAAGGAGCTCTGTTGCAGACTTGTTCGCAACACTATCACTAGCATGATCGCAATGCTACGTGCAAGTCCCTTGGGTAAAGAAACCAAATACCCTTCTAAACTGGAACTAAGACTAATGGCTCAGAAAATGGTGGATTACTTTCCAATGTTGCGTGATCCTGACCCACAAATGCCATACGTGAGTCTCCAGTAACCATTTATTTTCTATAAACGGACATTATTATTTTTGTTTTTGCAGTTGACTATCTACTGTAAAATGTTTAAGCGACTTCAAAATATGAGGTCTCCAAGGAAGAGGCAAGGTTCTGTTCCACAACGAGGGAAGGCGAAGAAGTCTCTATTTGACTCGGACAACACTGATGCAGATGGCACTACACATTCTTTTGACTCTGATTGTACCATACCTCTTGAGAGCCACGATGATCTCAGCGATGACAACCAAAGTGGTAAATACTTGTTTTAAAAAATTAGTAATGTTGCTATGTTGTTAATTATGTATTTGCACATTCTTCCAGCCAAGTGTTTCTCGCCAGAGAGATCTTCTACCCCTTGCTCCTCCAAACCGGTGGCTTCAAAACCAAAACCCAGAAATGATGGTATGGCCTTTGTTTTACCAAACTCTTTGATTGATTTTGATAAAACAAATGTTTAATTGTCAACACAATAATTAAATGTTGTTCTCATCCTTGGAATCTTGATTACTTCTGTAAAATTGCATTGTATGAACACAGATATGGACAAGTTTACTTTGCTTAATTTACTTCTGTTCTTAACTCATGACATTCCTTTTTTTATTTTGTATAGATAAACTGATTAAATCAAACATTTCAAGCGTAATGCCATCAACGTCTGGCTCATCATCCTCACTTGTGAAATCTAATGATAATGGTATGATTTTGTTTGTTGTTGATAATCTTTGATTCACCTAACGGTTGAATCAAACTTATACCCAATTTAAAAACTTTAACTCATTCTATAAGACAAGCTTTCAAAAAAGCATGTGTATTTGTACCACATATCTGCTCCCTTTGATTCTCAATACCCTCTGAATTTTTTTTTTTAATGACATTGTGTGGAAAACATATTTAGGAAGTAAATTTTAATGTGCATCCTTAATCTTTTCTTCTGTTTTCAGCTGAAGTGGACAGTCTGAAAGTGCAGGCCAGGCACTATAAAACTTTAAGTGCAATGTATAAAAAAAAAAAATCAAACCCCAACCAGAGCGACGTTGCTCAAGTACTAAACCTAGAGTTCAAAGCACGTCGGGCGTTCATAGACTCAAATGTCACGCGTGAGGAAGAGAGGCCTGCAAAAATATTGCAAGCCTACCCATGCTTTAAGGACCCAAACATGTAAGGCCAATTTCTTTGATAATTTGTAGATTAGGTGTTTCATTTGTGTTCATTTGTTTTAGGCTATAGATGAGCTGTGCAGGATTGTTGGGGGCACCAACACCAAATACCTCCTAGAAACCAAGGAAAGATGGTCAGATTTTTCTAAAAAAGTCCAATTCTTTGGAATTTGGAAAAAAGCCATGAAGCCTCCATTGCCTTTGGATGTTCATGGAGGTATTTTCAGGTTTTAACTTATTTGAACCATAGACCTGTTGTGATGTTCAATTTCTTTCAGCGGATTTTATGATTGGTGTCTTGAGCGCACTCCCTTCACTTTTCTCTTCCCCAGCTGTACCCCCCAAAAAAATGGCAAACGCTAGTGAATCTCTGATTCACATACTCAAGGTAATTTTTCCAAAAACAATCTTCTTCTAGATGGAGGGAGATTCTCTTGTGCACTCTAGTTAATTGATTTTGCTTTCTTCTAGTCTGAGGAGGACCCAGCCCTCTACTTGACAAAGCGTCCGCTATTCACACCACTACTACTCTTCGATGGAACAACGTGCATAATTGCAGTGGGCAATGAACCAATTTGCACCCTTCCGAAAGAGGACATTTCTGAGGCAATGTTGGTGATAATGGCCTACTACTACACATTGCACCTTACATATCCAAAGTGTGTTGCAACAGTCCTCTCGGTGATCCAGACAGAGGTAATCCTTGATGCTATTCATGAGCAAGATGCCACCTCTGCTTATCGTAAAGCAATAGCTGAATGGAGAACCTTTTTTTTCTCAAAGTAGTTAAACTGCTGACAAAGGTGACACTTTAAGTGGTCACAATCCACCGCAAGATTTGCGTGCGCTGCCATCTTGCCTGATGCCATTTTTGCATGGCTGCTGCCATGTAATAATGGCGGTGCATGCAGTTGCAGTGGATTTTATAGTCTTGTTTCACAATATTCTGAGATTTATTGTTCTTAACCTACGTTTTTTTTTTGGATGACTGTTAGAACTTTAGTGCCCAGTATTGTTATTGTACATTTATCAGTGTCATCTCCGGGTAATTGTTGAGAATGTTGGAAGTTGCTTTGATTGCAATAAATGTTAATTGCTTTACATTTTCTCTTTTTTTCATTATAGCAGTTATAGATCAGTCTTGTTTTGAAGAACTTGTTTTAAGATTAATGCTATTTATTTAAAGTAAAATCATCTTAGTTCAGGATATTAAAGTAACAATCTTAAGTTTCATTATGTATCTTTTTAGATAATGGTTTTAATTTTGAGATGAATGATCTTGATTCAAGATATTCTAGTACATTTTTTTACTTATTTTGAGTAATATCAACTAAAGATGGATAATTTATGTAAGGAGATTATTATTTTAGTACTTAAATTAAGCATATTTCACTCATAATGGAGTCTAAAATTTGGTGATTTTTGTCTTGAAATAAGCCAAATACTACTAAATTTGATTAGCTTGTTTTAAGATATAATTATCTTAAAATAAGAAATCTTACCAAGTCAAATTATCTTGCTGCATGGACAGATAATTCCACTAGTTTCAAGTAGATTTATCTCAAAATATAGCAAATTTATCTTAATTTTAGGTACTCATAATTTGCAGTGTGCGCATGCGTCAGCCAGCGAGAGCTCCATTCATTTGAATGAGAGACTTCAACAATTCACAGCAAGTAAACTAGAGTGGTCCAAAAAAATTCCCCCCCCTCAGCATTGACACACATGTGGAACGGAGCTTTGGGCCAAGAGCCATCTTTTGGACCATCCTGTAAAGACGTTTTCGAGAGGTCTGCCAATGCTATATGTTAGCATTGGCTAATTCTTCTTCTGGGTCCACCCCAAACGGCCCGGGGTGGTATTGCAAGCATGTCTGCGCACGTCATTTTGGCCACTTTTGAGCCGGGACCCGCCCCCACCGGTACAAACAGGCGGCCTCCTCTAGCGTCTACAGCACTGCTAAACATGGTAGCATGTTAGCAGAATTGGGCTATAACTCCTCTTGCTGTAATTACAGATACAGCAAAACAGCCCAAATGACACAACAGTGAGGAAAAGAGGAGGGAGGGAACAAAAGCGAAGAAGAAATCAAGCTCGGGTGAACATAGCTAGCTTACATCGTATCCTCTGGAGCAGTGTCTCCCAAAGGGTGTTGCAGGGGGGCCGCGAGAGGTCATAAAAAAAAAAAAATATATATATATATATAATTATTGTATGTTAGATTAATAATATTTTGTTTGTAATATTAAAATATTTGTGTTTATTATTTGACTTGAATAATCAAATTGTAATCATTTTTGTATTACAAAATGGGGTGCGTCATTTACATGTTTGTAGCAAAGGCTATTTCCCCCAAATAAAATAACGAGAAGAGCCTTATTTTTAACGTTGTCTTCTTGGTTATTCTTGGCCACGGTGTTACTGACTTTGCGAAGGGCTGCTCCGGAGAGACCTGTGGTAGCAGGACCGGCTTGGACTATCTATGCTCGGACTACATTTGGACACGAAACTAGCGGTAATCCTTCAGTTATGTATTTAGTTAGCAGTGGTTTGCTTTTGTACCATTTCATCAGTGATTGTTGTACAGCTTACAAGAAGTCGCGCTAATGCTAATGTTTGCATACGTATCGGATGCAAGAGAGCGTAGGGGAAATGTGAAGCCTGTGAGCAAGTTGGGGGCGGTGCTAAACATTCAAACTGAAAAAAAAACCTTGCAGAAACGGGTATAGCTCCTTTAAGAAGGCAAAGTATGCTTTTTTTTTGGCCATGCAAAGTAAATATAGTGTAATGTATGATAATTTAGATCATGGACCCATAGTGGCCAGAGTGTCATTCTGCAAAAACGCAGTCGGCATGGAAAATGGAATAATGAAGGTCGCAATATAGTGGTGACAATGAGATGTGCATAAGTACTAAATCAGAGAAATGCATTAGGAACAAATACTATGTACAATACTATGTGCTGGACATCAACATGACTAGTCAACATGACATGTCTTTTGTATGGACCTTGAGTCCGGAATAAAGATTATCATTATTGTAATTATTATTATGACCTGTCTCACAGTGTTTTAGAAGTTTCATATATTATACTCTTAGAACAGGGAGTAGTTGGAGAGGTGTTATAACTAATTTCATTTTGGAGCAAGCCTTGTAGTTTCTCCCTATGGCTCCACATGATCAATGTCCATGTTCCGCTGCTGAAACCGCTTCTCTGACAGATACCACATGTGAATTCTGCTGTAGTATGAACCCTGAGTTGTGCTATTTCTGACACACAAAAAATGCACATTGTCATGTTCCAGTTTTCATGAAATATCAGAAAATATATGGTGATAATAATAAAAATACATTGGTTTGATATAGCTCAACGACGCTTAAAACAATTAAGAATCAACAATTTGTTTTTTTTGGTATGTGAATATTGCCATCTGCAAACACATGGTAAAGAGCATAATTTCACCTGAGAATGTGCCAACATTAATTTAGAGGCCTTTTTTGATTAAAAGGCAGAGTATAATGTCGATTATCAAAACCTATATTTCAACTTAGCCAGAGCAGTAGTAATACAATATGGTTGATAGTAGTTGTAAATTGAGTCATCAGTATTATTTGTGGTGCTTACAGATCTAACGCACAATTATTTGAACCCATTTTGTCTCTTCAGAGCAGTGGGAGGGGCGGCTGCGTGTTCAAAAGCAGATGTAAAATGCATGCAGTGATTATGAATTTGAAGTTAATTGAATAGTGGCTCTTGAAGCGTGATAAGACACAAACTCTGGCCTCTTACACAGCCGTTCCAATCTTAAACAATTAAATTTAAACGCGTTAAACAATTAGAGGTCTTTAAGTCAAATGTAATTGTCTTTTAATATTCCACACATGCTTGATGTCAATTACAGCTTTATCACTGACACACATTTTGTAGGACTTGGGGGGTATTGAGCCCGGACCGACCACCAAAGGGTCTGTGGTTCAAACTGGCTGGTTATTTTCATTCCAACTAAGCAGGAACCACCCATTTGGAGTATAATGAATGGAATGGAGTTTAATATCCCAGCTATAGATCAATACATAAAGGGCCATTATACTTTTATAACTTTTATGTGGCTTTTTACAACCTAATACAACCTAAGTGGATCTTAACCGGACCAGAAGATTCTCTACAAAAATACCCCAAAACAGTACAAAGTCCAACTTTTTGTGCACATAAACACATTTATTTAAAACTTCCTTTAAAACACTGTCCTTTAATACTCACTCAATTTTAACTGGAAATCTGTTACTAACTTTAATGTAACAGTGAGTTTTTCAAAGAAAAAATAATGTAAGTATTTACAATATTACATTGTAAATGGCATTTCACAATATTTGTTTTCATATTTGTGGATTAGCTTTTAGTACGGCTTGGTTTTATCGGGGCTCATTACAGAGAAAACTTGCTCACAGTAGGTACCTTAAAAAAGGTACAGTAGGTCGCTTTAACAAAGGTACAGTAGAAGAAAGAAGCACTTAAACACAGCACCTCAGCTTAACCATCTTCAGTATGGTAAGGAAGTCCACGGTTATGTTATTGTCACAGAGAAAGCTTCAAACTGACCATGAATCAGTTGAAATGAACAAAACAATTTCCATAACGTGATCCATTCTTAACGACTTGCAGCACAGTGTCTGTGTTTAATACAGAGAAATGTCCAAAAATCATCATCTCCATTTGCGGCTTTGTCACAACACCTGCCTTTACCGTTGGTACCAGGCTGAGAGCGTAGGACCAGTCCACACTGTCAAACGCACCAGCAACAGCGCGTATCCAACACAGGCACCAACACTAAAATATCCTCTGTGATAGTTAACGTTTCTGTAACGCCACAAATGAATATGCGAAGAAATCAAGCCTGGGGTAATATACGTAGCTTACAACGTATTCTCGCTGGAAAGACCTGTCTTGGACTTGAAATTCAGCTGCTCGTTTGCTGACAGGGACCAGGCATAGAGAACACATCACATCTGTGAAAGTGGTGGCACATTAGTTTGAACGGCGGAGATAGGCATGACTACGTCCGTTAAAGGCGCTATACCCGTTTCTGCAATGTTTGAATGTTTAGCACCGCCCCCCAACTCACTCAATGGCTTCTTATTTCCCCTACGCTCTCATAACACAGAGCCACCTAGTTTTATTTGCGATCTGATAAATATGCTAACATTAGCATTAGCGCAACTTCTTGTAAGCTGTGCAACAATCACCGATGAAATGGCACTAAAGCAACGCACTGCTAACACAATATATAAGTAAAAGAATACCGCTAGTTTTGCGTCCGAATGTATTAATTTAAAACCTTAGAATATATTCTAATATTGAATTATAATTTGTTATAGAGCTCCTCAAAGCAGCAGCAGCAATTCTTCCGATAATTTTTTCTTGATAACAGAACTCTCAAACCAATAATGACCGAAGCCCCAATGCAACCTCTGTTTGTAATTCAGGTGTGTAAAATACTGCCATTACTCCGCAAGTACAAGCTATCAGCACCTGTCACTATCACTCGTCTGTGTAGAGAAGCCAACGGAGCTAGCGGAGCTAGCCACGCTCAATAAACAACTACATATCTATCAATCAACACCATTAAACGTCAATCGGACAATACAGTACACATATACATCCTTAACACACATGCACGGATGATTTCAGAATTTGCTGTTAACGTTTTCATAACAAAAATACTGTTTCAAAGTGACAAAAAGCGATTGCGAAAAACCCGGAAGTTACCACGAAACAGCTAGCTAGCTTAGCTGTTACC